AATTTAAAAAATAATAAAAAAAACAAATTTTAAATCACTTGATCATAATAAAAATAAAAATAACACTAAATCATAATTTATGTTTAATTTTATTTAAAAATAATTATAAGTAGATATCACTAAATGATTTTTATTTTATCATGTAGTTCAAATTAAATAATTATAATTTTACATGTCATCATAATATAAAAAATAATTATTTCATAATTAATATCAATAATATAATTATTTTTAATAACATATAAATATCAAATTTTAATTATTTAATTTTAATCTATACAAAACTTAAGAAACAAATATATTCCCTAGTTTTATATAAATTTGTATAACTTGCCTAATAAATACAATAACTCCTCAATAGTTACTTACATAGCCATAGAAGCATCAAGAAGCTTCCCTAAATTTTATAGTCATTTGATAAAAGTCCTTACATTACAGATGTCATAATCTAAGTCCATAAATGCCATTCTTATCCCTTACCCCAAAATCCTAACCAAATCAAGCATCACACCTTCCATCTTCAAAATTCCCAAAAGTGGATACACCTCATTCACCGTTGACCCGACGTTGACCTCTCCATGGAAGAAATTTCCATCCACATGTAGTATCCCCGAAACTCTGTAAACCGTTATTCTCCTCAATTCCCAATTCACCTTACTTTCTTACTCCCATCGCTCACTTCAATTAACAAATCCATTACGCTAATCCAAAGTAGAATCCAATTTCGACGGAATACAGTTTCGGCTACAACTGCATCCCCCCTCTGAAAGGTTCGTTCTTATCTTTAATTTTAGTTGTTAATCGATTTTTCTTCAATTATTGCTTCAATTTGGACATGGATTTTGTTTAACGTCAGACTCTCTCTTCATTTTTTGAGTTCTTTCTTACAAACCGTATCAGATTCAGCTCGTTCTTGTGTTCTTTGGTGCGTTTGTGTCTAATAAATAATTTTATCTAATTGCTTTTATGAACGAGTGATCTTTCACTCTTTTTTATGAAGTTTCTTCACTTTTAGACCTAGGTCTTGCTTTATATCAGGAAATCATTTGGGAAATTACATACTTTTAGGTTTTTTTTTTTTTTTTTTTCTTTTATATTATGTAATCAAGTGGCGTTTCTGCGTTCCTTCGTATCTGAATTTCTCGGGTAATAATCGCTTCAATTATCGCTTGTTTCTTGATGCGCGTCACAATCTCTTGTCTGTTCTTTCAAATTTTGGATACCTTTTTGGCAAATTTTAAGTTAGAGTTTTAGTATTGTTCTAATTACGTTATTACTGTTCCAGATTAGGGTTTTTGACTATACAATTTTGGGGAAAATGTTGGCGTCACATATGGAATCAAAAGGGCAAAGATGGCCGAATGTTAGATTGGGAGACATAGGAGATTTATCTACCGCTTTTAATTATGGAATCTCTGACATGATGATGAACAATTTATGGGTTTATGATCTTAACATACTTGAAGAACCACAAACCGATCAAATTTCTGGGTTCCCTGAACAAGCATCATCTGAATTCACAGTTTCTGATCATCCCAATTTATCTTCAAAGTTTGTGGTTAACAACGATATACAGCAAAACATAGAGAATGATGATCCCAACTTCATAAAACCCAAGAACATAGAAACAATCGAATCTAAACCAACCCAAAAGTGCATAAAAGGCCCACGAAGCAAAAGATGCAGAAGAACCGTTTTCGAAACTCCATGGACTCCATCAATGGATAATCTTTATGGCTCAAATGATAATCAAGGATCTGGTATTAGCAAAAGAGCTTTAAGAGAAGATGTTAATGAACCCACTTTCAAGATCCAAAAGGGTGTTAGTGTTACTGATAATCTTGAAAGCAATGATCTTGTTTCAGAATCCAGTGGCAAATGTGTAAATAGTGTTGGAAGATGGTTAGAGGATGTGGGATTTGGAAGATATGCAGGTATGTTTGAAATGCATGAGGTTGATGAAGAAGCATTACCTTTGCTTACTCTTGATGATTTGAAAGAGATGGGTGTTCTTGCTGTTGGGCCAAGAAGGAAGCTTTATGCTGCTATATCTCGGTTGAGGGGCGAATGTGACAATTAACTTGTTGTGAAGTAAGATCTAGACTTGTTAATGTAAGTAGTATGGATGTTCAACATGTTTTTTGAATACCCTTTTTTTTATATGCTGAAAGTTGTGTTTTTAGATGTATGATGAGATAGGTTGAGCTGATCTTTTGTGTCGGGTTTTGTTCAACCTAGTAAATTTTGTGTCCAAAGTTTGGGTAATGTGGTTTGTGAGTTCTTTAAATTTGATTATTCCGTTCATATGTCAACTATAAATCATACAAAATACCACCATTTCTCCATTTCCTCAAACTGGTGGCAACAATTGATTATCTCAATACGACGCTACTAGAAAAAAAAAAACTAAACTGCACAAATGGTCCTTGTGGTTTGTCAAAAATTGTCACTTTGGTCCAAAATGTTTCGACTAGCACCAGAGTTCCAAACTTTTCAATTTTTTTTTACGAGTTTGGTCCAATTTACTATTAACTTTTTCGTAATGATGATTTTACCCTGACTTTTTTTTCTTTTTCATTTTTTTTTATTATTTAAAGATTTTTTCAAATTAAAAGAAAATTTTTCTTTTTTATTTAATTTATATAATTTTTATAACAGAAAAATAAAAAATAAAAAAGAAAGTCTCTTTCTCTCTCCTCGCCAAAGCTCAATCTACATCTCCCATTTGTGCTCTCCTTATCTTCCTCGCTCTGTTCCTCTTCACCCTCTCCACTTTTGAACCCAATAACAACTTCATCAGATCATCTCATCATCATCATTATCGCTGGCACCTCTCACAGGTCTAGTTTGCACATGAAATCAAACCTTCTCTTCATCTTCTTCTGTCAGTGATGGCTACAAATATCACCTCCATCAGTAGATATCCAATGTTAAAGTAGATATCCAATGTTAAAATTAGCATTAGAACGTATTTATCAGTAGATATCCAATGTTAAAATTAGCATTAGAACGTATTTAAGAAGATATTGATCACATTCTTTACATCCCCTTCTCTTTGAATCGCTTGAATCGTTCACCCAGAAGGTCAGGTCTGATCTTGAAATCTGATTCACAACAGGTATGGTGATGGTTGGTGTTAGTTTCTGCCTAGAAACAAAATTGAAATTCTGTGTGCCCAGAAATGAAGCACGAAGTCATTGTGTGTGTATATGTGTGCGTCAAGAACCTTCAAAGTCGATGGGTTCGTTCATGTGTGCCTGTAGAAAAAAAAAATTCAACAAGAATTCTCAAGATTTGACTTTATTGCATCTGAGAGAGATCGATATTTGACCTTTGACATTCGATCGCACAAAACCACACACATGAGGGTTTCTGTGCGCCATTGATTAAATCATACATACCTTTTGCTGTTCGAGGTCGATCTGCAGGTGAGTGGAAAAGGGCGGAGTCAATTTGGCACTCAATCTGTTGTCAAATGACCACCGAATCCATAGTCCTCTTTCTCCGATCGTCCTTCTTGTTTTGAGCTTGCAAACCTTCGTTTCAGATCTAGAACACCATCGTCTTCATCCATGGCTCTTTCTTCCCCCATAGTTGATGTTCCCAAAAAAAAAAAATGAACCAGTAAACACAGATCTGGAGCTCTGAACGGGGTGTGACGGAGAGCCTTGCGGAGGGCAATAAAGGTGAGATATCCGACGACGACTTGAGAGAGAGAGATTTATTTTTATTTTTATTTTCTTGTTTTTTTAATCTGAAAATCAGGAGAGAGAGATATTTATTTTTATTTTTATTTTCTTGTTTTTTTTTTAAATCTAAAAGTCATAAAAACAAATAAGAAAAAAGATAAAATCATATTAACAGGGGTAAATCCGTCATTTTGAAAAAAAACCAGAACAGATTGGACCAAAGATGCAACAAAGTGAAAGTTTTGGACCACTGGTGGTAGTCCAAACTTTTATGGACCAAAGTAGCAATTTTCGACAAACCATAGGGACCATTTGTGCAGTTTAGTCTAGAAAAAATGCTTAAGGTTAAGAGGGCCTTTGGCAAAGCTTATCTAAAATAGCTTTTAATTTTTTAATTTATAGTTTATTAACTTATAGCTGTGTCAAAACGGAGTTTTTAAAAAAGTGTTTGGTTAAGCTTATCCAGTATCAAAAGGCTATAAGCTGATAAGTCATTTTTATTGTTTGGCAAAAAAAACTGTTTATATGTGTAAAATTACCAAAAATGGCTTCTTTTATATTATGACTTATTTTTCTTATTATAACTAATATAATTAACCATTTTTTTAGATTTAGTTCTAATAAGATTTTTTTTTACAAGTAAGCCTTTCTTTACGAATAAGTTTTTTTTAATTAATAATTTTTTTTATAAAATATCTAATGTTTCAACAACATTTAAAATGTTTCAACAATAATTTAGTCAACAATCATGCTACATTAAACCATAACAATGAGAATACAATATAGTTTCAAAAACAAATCAAACACCATTGCGACCACATCGCTTTACACACACACACACACACACACACACACACACACACACATATATATATATATATATATATATATATATATATATATATATATCGCGATCATATCTCGTACTATGTTTCAAAAACGTATCGTCATTCTTACCCCTATAGCAACAGAATCCCGAAATAACTTCTCGTAATATGTTTCATATATCTTCAAATTTTTATCCCTAAACTTAGCATATTCTTTATCTCCTCCCTATGTAATAAAAAAATAAAAATGTCATTAAATTTGCACTAAAAATAAAAAGTTAATAGAAAAATAATATAATTGTTACCTTTATTTTCTCCTCCCACCACTCCAGTGATGCTATGATTATTTTTCTCATGCTATCATATGAAATGTTGGATTCTAGCCTCATTAAACGATCATATATCTTCCATTCTTCCGCATAGTGTCCCATTTGTTTTTGAGTTGCTTTATTTCCAATCTTTTCCCCGTCCTTTCGTTAATATTTTTCTGTATATTTTCTCATCGACCTTATAGAAACTCCTATCCACTTTATACCCTTTTTTATCCTCATTCATACACTCATCAAGAAATATGATAAATGTATGATTATCCCAAATAAGTTTAGGGTGAAGCTTATTTTTTGAAGTTTCATCGTCAACAAGATTAACATTGTTGGTGTCCATAACCACATTCAAGGTATCATATAAGCATCTTAAGAATTTCAAAGGTAAACTACACATTCAAAGGTATTTCATTCAAAATCTGATTTCACATTCAACGGTAAACTACACATTCAAATTTGGTTAATTCAAAATCTAATTTAACATTCAAAATCAGTTTTGAATTCACATTCCAAGGTAAACAACACCTTCAAATAAAAAAATGACAGCAATGCAAATTCTGATCAGATACCAGAAAAAGGTAGCACAAGATCCAAAATTTTTTTGAGTTCCAATTCAAATCAGCAAGAACCAAGGAAGTCGACCGCAGAGAACCAAAAAAAATCAACAATAAGGGATAGAAGATAATCGACAGTATCACAAATCTGATTTTACATTCAAAGTTCTGATTTCACATTCAAAGTTTTGAATTCGACACATTCAAGCTACATATTAAAGGAAAAGATGGAAGAACCGATAGCTCCAATTCAAATAAAAAATTAACGCAACACAAATTCAGATAACTAAAAAATCGACAGCAATTCAGAATTCAGATTCATATCATATGCAAAACAAGGAAAAATCGACAACTCCAATTCAAATAAAAAAATCAACATAACACAAATTCAGACAACCAAAAAATCGACACCATTGATGGAGGGAAATCCACAGCAGCAAGAGAAAGGAAATAAAAAATTGACAATTGGAGAAATCGACAGCAGCACAAACACGAAGGAAAACAGAAAGAAAAAAGAAAAAACGTGAACCTGTAGGCTGCGACGACATTTTTATAAAAATTTGTACATACATTTTACTATATATACGACAAATATTTTGTCATATTTTTTAGAGATTTTATGACATACATTTATATGTCATTGATTTTATGTTTCTATAGAAATACATCTTTTACAAAATGTACTAATTATTAAACTAAATCATACATTAATGCCTCATGATACAAAATAAATGAGTAAATATAAATGAATAAATAGTACAAAAGATACTAAGTATTAAAATTCTAATTTGACACTTTTTTATTTTTCTTTGTTTATTATTTATTTTTTTGTCTCAAATTTGCCACTTTGTTTTCTAAATTTTTACAATTATGATCACTTGACCGGTCAAATAGGTTACCTGACGTGGCATGATAACATGTCAGTCTGATGATATGGCATGCTAACATGTCAAAATTGAATTTTTTTCACATAAAAGACGCTAAGTTTTCATTTTTTTCGATTTTGAAACTAAGTTCAATATTTTTCTTTCAATTTTAACACTCTTTTTTATTCCAAATCGAACATCATTTTTTTCAATTTTGTTCAATGTTGACAATTTTCCATTTGAAACCGGATAAATATTTATTTAATACATTTAAAACGAGTTTAGAGGTTTGGAGGCGTGTAGTCGATCAAGACCCAGATGTCAGGTTTGCAACCCGTGAAATTTTTACATCTTATTCGATTTTTATGGTTGGTTTGGTTGTCATGATATAACTAATCCATATTTATATATAACATTATGCTTTAAATGTAAAAAAAACCCTTATATTTATATAAAAATGAGGTTTTTAAACGAAAAACATATATTTATATAGTTTAAAATGTAATAAAAAATATATTTATACGGTTTCAAATGGAAAATTGTCAATATTGAACAAAATTGGAAAAAATGATGTTCGATTTGGAACAAAAAAAATAGAGTGTCAAAATTGAAAGAAAAAATTAAACTTAGTGTCGAAATCGAAAAAAAGTGAAAACTTAGTGTCTTTTGTTGGAAAAGATTCAATTTTGACACGTTATCATGTCATGTTAGCATATCACGTCATCAAAAACTGACACGTTATCATGTCACGTCACCAGGTAACCTGTTTGACCGGTCAAGTGATTAGAATTGTAAAAATTGGAAAACATTGTGTCAGATTTGACAAAAAGAAAAACACGGTTTCAAATTTGAATTTTTGTGTATACTCAGTGTCTTTTGTGTTATTTACCCAAATAAAATAGCATACATACATAGGAAGAAATTTGTTTGAAACATCAAATTTAATTCATTTCTAAACTAACATTACTTTACATATGTTCCAGATGGGTTTGAACCCTCAATTGTTGGGCTAGAAGCCCTTTGCTAAAGAAAGACAACGCCAACCTATAATATGATGTCAAAGACGGGTTTAAACCCTCAATTGTTGGGCTAGAAGCCCTTTGCTAAAGAAAGATAAATAATTACATTACATATAATATGTCAAATACAATGTATCATTCCAAATTTACTAAAAATAATTGTTGTCAAATATAACGTATCACCGGTAAACAACTTTAAGTTGTGACATAAGGGGCTCATTCTTCGTGGACCTCATCGATCTCAATGTATGTATATTGATTCTTGCCCCGAAATTGAGACAAAAAATAATATATTAGCCAAAAAAACAAATAAAAAATTATATACGAAAACCGATCAATTATGTCGATAAAACTACTATATTTACTTACACTGATATTCAACACTTCAACTCATTCATCAACTACCGCTTTCATGAATTTAATAACATAACACCCACATTATGTGCCTATCGGCTAAAGAGTGCATTACCAAATTATATAATAATGATTATTAAAATAACAATAATATGTTTGATAAATGCGATTGAAGTTAAAGTTGTAGTTTGTCCTCACCACAACATTAATCCAGTTGACGCTAACCCTTTTGTTAGGATCTGCTTTGTGGGGCATTCAAAGACGATGCCTTCCAAAAACAATTGATGAAATCTATATCAAAGAAAACAATTTAATGTTGTAATAATTTATATTACTTACGCTTCATTTGCATTATTTGTGAATTTAAAAGGTCTTGGAGAATCAAGGTAATAACAAGTTGTTGTTTCCATGTCTAGTACCACTAACACCCAATGACCACTATAAAACCCAAAAAAAAAAAAAAAAAAAAACCACACACACACAATTAAGACAAATTACACAGTTAGCCCATGATTGTCTCGTTAAGTCTTAAACATAAACTACTTTATTTCTCAATAGGTTGGGGGGGGGGGGGGGGGGGTGGAGACAAGCATCAAGTTTTTAAAGAATTATTTAAAAAAAAAAAAATTCTTTCTGCCTTGTGATTCAAGGTTTTATTTCAGGGGTCGCATTCGTTTGATTATGTGATCAACTGATCATCAATCCCAATCATATGTGACGACCTTAAATTTAAAGGTACAATTATGTTTGTATGTATGTTGGGAATGGTAAGAGTACAAATGGATATTAAAACTCAAAGTTGGTCCTGGTATACTACTAATGTTATGGAATATGTTTAACCCTTTTTGTAGTTTGATTATTTAATAGTGTTCTTACTTGGTATGAAATACGGGTGAACAAAAAGCGCACCGCATAAATCGCAACCGATAAACCATAACCGCAATAAAAACCGATGGTGAGGTTTTATATTTTTCAAAACCCATAAATTTGCGGTGCGGTACGGTTATTAGTTTTTTAAAACCGCACCGCACCGTATATATTATATACAATTTTTTTTAATTAATTATTAATATATACAATTTTTCTTAGTAATTATTAATATATTAAATATTAAAAATAAGGTAAGTTTAATGGATGAAAGAACGATAAAATTCTAGAAGACAAAAATGTTGATTTTTTGTTAATTTTAACTTTAGAAAATGGTAAAATTTGACAATTTTAAGATTTTTTTGTTAATTACTAGTGATTTGATGTTTTTAAGATATTAATTGTTTGTGATTTAAGTTAATTGTCTTATACCTTATGGTTTTTTATTGTTAATTACTAGTGATTTATTTTTGAACTCTTAAAATCGTTTGAACTCTAAACTGCGGTTAAAAATCACATAAAATAACCGCACTAAATTCATGCGTTTAATAACCGAAATACAAAAAAAAAAAAAAAAACGCACCGAAAAAATAACCGCACCATGCGGTTTTGAAAATGGATTAACCGCATTTGCGGTTAGTGGTGAGGTTTTGGTCAATAACTGCACCGAACCGTATCGCGCTCACCCATAAACTATGAAAAGAGAAGTAAGATGCTTAAATGCAATATTTATGTATTCATGGACTTGAAAGTGTGAAATGATGAGGCTTCAATAAAACTTCTCTATATAACATCAAACTCAACAGCGCCTATCTTAAAATTCCAAATAAACTCATTGAATCATTTCTTGAATTCCATGTAATTATAAACTTCTAAACATACCTAAGGTATCATTTTATATGTATATAAGTATATTATATCAACTTTAGTTTATCTTTCATTACTATTACATAGGTATGTTATTTTTTCATAGTTTAGAATCTTATATATATATATATATATATATATAGATATATATATATATATATATATATATATAAAGATTATAAACTATGAAAAAATAACATACCTATGTAATAGTAATGAAAGATAAACTAAAGTTGATATAATATACTTATATACATATAAAATGTTAGTATTCACTACTTAATAGCCTATTCACATTTGATTGTAAATAACATATAAATGCAATTTGAAAAATAAACCTATAAACAAATAAAATTCACAACTTAATGAAACAGATAATATCTAAAATAATGAAAAATAAAATAAAATAAATATAAAATATAAGATTTACAACTTAATAAAATATTCACATTAATAAAATATTCACATGTGACTCTAAATAACATATAATAAAAATTGAAAAATACACTTAGAAAATAAAATTCAAAACTTAATAAAACATAGAATATGAAAAATAATAATATATAAACTAAAATTATTAT